ACCCGCAAAAAATTGGTGAGTAAACTTGAATTAAGTTTTAACGGCTTTAAACTCAATTTAGGGAGTAGAAATACCGATTTATGAAATACTGAACCAAAATCGCACTATGGACTTATTAAAACGACTTGAGCACACCGCCTAAAAGTGTGTTTAAAATCAGAGAGATCTTGTTGACATATAATTTTACTTTTAAATGGCATTCCATTTGGATTATTATGAGCTGAAAAAAAAACGATTGTGGAATAAAATGCTATCGCTTAGTTCTACTAACTTAACTATTTTCATACATAATATCTACCTGTTTGATTGTAAATAACATTAGAGAATAAACGGCAATGACAAGTTCATTTGCTGACCTGTGAAAAGAAGGGACAAAGAGTTTGTCTCTTTATGTTTATTTATGTTACGCTTATATTGAAAAAGACTTTTACTATGTTCAGAGTAGTCATTAGCAATTCATTGTTACATATAGGTTGAACATCTGATAAATTGAAAATTTATAGTGGCATTTAAATATTGTCCATCAAGTTAAATATAAAGTTCAACATAATTGAATACCGTCAGTGACTCTGTGTTGTGGGTTGAAAGATCTCAAATAAGCTGAGAAATAAATTTGGTAATTAAATATAAAAAGGTATAAGTCTTGACTTTTGAAACCTTCATTCAATAGAAAATATAACATCTTTGAAGGAGAAGAAACATTAAATTGTTAACATAGTAAGTTAGTCATTTTCAGGTTATGTATTAGAAAAAGAAAATTATCATTGACTATTCCATAATATAGGGACAGAACATTCTTATTGATGCGTGGGTGGCTTCATCTGTCTGTCTGTCTATCTGACCTTCTTTCAAGCGGGAACTGCTGGGCCAATTTGGATGAGGTTTGGTACATTGATGGACGGGAGCCTGGGACCATTGTCATGGACTGATTTTGATGTATTGGATTATGTGAATTTTGTGCGAATATTTAGTGGGTTTAATATGTTTCAGTATAAAACTTAGTAATATTAAGTGATTAGCCTAAGTGATTGAAATGCTATCCAAGTCAGTATTTCGTGCGAGCGAAGTCGCGGGCACAGTTACATCAGTTACAGCTTTTGGTGTTCCAACCAACTAGTACTGTGTCTACAGTGCATAGCATTCATAGTACAGAGTAAAATTTTATTATTACTACTAGCGTAAATTATCACGTCTAGGATACATTCAAACTGTTAAGTACTTTTAAGTACTGTTAATTATTAAACATATCTTTTTAGCAAAATATTTGGCTTCGACATTAATAATTTACACAGAGATAACAAAGTAAGCGTCAATTAAAATCCTGCTTCCCATACGGTAGAGACAGGTATTGGTGGCGATATTGAAGTTCGGAATATTTTAACGTGACAAATCTCAAGACGAAAATAAGTTTATTTAAAAAGAATTGAGGGACACTGGCGCGTTCTAAATAACAAATGGAAGGAAGTAGAGCATATATAGAAGGAAGAAACAATGGAAACATAGAAGATAAGTATAGGATGGTAACAAATATCTATGCAGTTGTTGTGAAAATAATTATTTATAGTTTATTAAACTTACAAAATGGATATACATGTAGAAGTGTAGAGAAACTTAGGATATCGAATTTCATGTATACTTGTATTCCATTAATTGATAGTTTTAGAATACAAGTACCTATACTTAGCAATATTAAATATATTAAAAAAAGGAAGGGATGTAGTGTATGCGTAAACGTAGTGTTGTTTGTCTCGAGCGTACACGCCATAAGTACATGCCGGAGAGAGTGCGGCGTCAGTCGATGTCAGACCTTTGAGCCGGCAACACGTGTCGGTACGTGAACGAGCCAAATATAGCACAACGAATGCTACAGATTGCATTTGACTTCTTACTTAATTACTGTATAATAAAATGGATTATATATTAAGTTGGTTATGTTTGTCAAATTGTAAGCCACTAGAATATTTACCCTTCCTAAGCGTCACCCTCCTTTATCAAAACCAGTTCTTTCCATACTTTCCTAACAGGAAAATGGTGGCAAGGGATCTATCCCTCCTCCGTGTGACCTCTTGGACTAAAATTAGATCTCACGCTCATCAGACTGTAGGTATTTGGAATGACTTGCTTTTAAGTCGTAGCTGGGGTCTACCACTGGTTTGTTTCTGTCTGTCCATCATTTATATATACATAGTGTAGTGTAATATTCTAGAATCTTTTAGGTACTCACTCCGCCTGGTCTCGCTGGCATTTTCATCCTTGCTGGGAGTGCGCAGCTTCCTGTCAGTGTGGTCGAGCAGAGCGCCCTCAGTGCGACTGCCCTCCGCCTCGGGCTCCGGCTCAGAGCTCTTGTAGCGGCGCGCGGCGGGTGGTGGAGTTGCAGCCGGGCACTTGCTGCTTGACCGGCTACGTGCACCAGCCTTCTCCGGTGTCTGCTCTTGTTTTACTTCTATTTTCTATAGAGAAAAGCAAAGAGAACTTTTACAGTAATAGTTCTTCATAAATGGAACAAAAGAAGCAAATGAATTTAGTCGTACAAATATAATGTAAAACTCCTTTTCAGTTGTGACCGACATTTATAAATGCAATTGGGCTCTAAATAGCAAATATTAAGGAAACTAAATAAAACAAGAAAAAGAGTACATAAACTGACCCCGACACAAATTGTCTTAGGTTCAGAAGTCAGGGTTTGAGTAACAAAAACGAATTCTATACAAATAAAAATAAATTTTTACAAAAATATATAGAAAAAAAGATGAAGAAGATGCTGAAAATGTATTAGTAATGAAGTACATATGATGATTTGTATATAAAAGTATACAAATACTTACCGTTTCTTTGTTATCACCAACGGCTCCACTGTTCTTGAAGACATCGTAGGGGTACAGGATGCGTTCATAGTGGTTCTTTAGTATGGACCCTATGCCTTTACCCTGAGGATGGCCCATGCGACGCGCTATCTTGGACCACTTGCGCTCCGACGAGCACACTTCAAAACCACCTAGACAACCACAACTTACTTATTACACTTGCAAATCTCATATGGTTGTAACATAGATGAGATTATGGTCTCAAAAACCCACAGTTAGTCTTATGTTTAATTATATTGATTTAATTACAAACCTGCTTCTTTAACAATTTTATGCAGTGCATAGAGATCTAGTGGCTTGCGTTCCACTGTGGGGATCTTCAGTACGGAGCCCTGCAGCTCCCAAAACTTGATGATCTGGTCCAGGAAGTTCAGCTTCACGCGAGTTATCGCCTAGTAGACAAAATTATATGATAACCAATGTAAGTTTAAAACTATCCTCCAAATTTCAATCACTAAACTAAGCTTGTCCTTTAGTAAGGATTAAGTGAGCCATAAGTGTCTCTGGGTACAGCCGTTGAGTCAAATCATTGAACTGTCTCACATCATTCATTTCATCAAATTCAAAGAACAATCTTAATAAAAGCTTGTCTTACATTTTACCGACAAAATAAATTATCAAAATTGCTGTCAAATTACATTGCTATTTGCATATTAACATAATATATATTCAATAATGTCAGTAAAGCAATTTGATAATTGATTAAGTCACTAGTCCATTTGCCTGATGAGGTTTGAATAAATAATTTAGGACGGTTTTAGTAATTGAATGGAAATTATTAATTCAACAAGGTTAGAAGATAATGGACACTACAATAAATAATTTTGTATTAACCACATAAACTCTCACCCTTATATTTATAGGTAAACAGAAACAACAATACATATATGTTTAAAAACAAATAAAGCAATATGTAGTATAAGATTATTAATACTATATATATATATTATACATATCATGTACGCACAAAAAAAAGATTTTTCCTTATACATTAACTGCCCACTTACTATTATCTTACTAATATTACAAATGCAAATGTTTGGATGGATGGATGGATGTTTTTTTACAGGTATTATATCTCCAAACGGCTGAAAGAAAATTTGACATCAATGTATGGCATGGTCTGGAAGAACACATAGGCTACTAATTGTGTTTTTTTTTTAATTTTAGCGCAGACAACAGCTGGTACTTTTATAAATATTTGAAGCATTCGAATTCCAACATGTGGTTAGTTAAACAATTTATTTTATACTGTTAAAGCTTATTAAAGTATTATTGCTTGTTACCTCTAATTCATTTAACCGTTGTATGCGAGGAGTGAATCTTAATCTGTCCACATCCACTGCAAACGGAGGCTGCCAGTGCTGTAACAAATTAGACATCTAACATTGTATCTGAATATAAACATGTGTGGGCACTGTTATCTCAGTTTAGTTCTGTCATAACATATGTAGAAAGTATAGATAAATGACACACAATATAGCTGTTGTGTGACAAGAATCTTGTGACATTTTTGTCACTGACGAGGCTGCTGTAATTTAGTTTCATTTATTTCCAAAAAAATTTGTGGGTCTATAGATTTATAATATGAACTAAACTTATTAGTACCAAAAACTGTTGTTTACAAACAGTTTTAGCAAATTTTAGTTTCATTAACAACATTGAATATTAAAATTGGCCTAATCTAGAGCTCAATTGTGATTAAGATAAATTTCTTTCTACAATTTCAAATTATCAAACTACAAATAGATAATAGTAATTGATAATTTGGTTACAAGGTAGACCACCACTTGTTTTGACAGTTGTATTATTAAAACTTAACTTGCTATGTGCAGTGAACAATACAATGAACTCTAATTAAAGGTAAAACTATACAGATATATTTGCTGTTCTGATTCCTGGAAAAGTTGAAGTAATACAATATGGACAATGTTACAAATACTGTCATTAATTTCTCCATAGTAAGTATAAATACATAGTCTTCCTGCCTATTACATACATTTGAAACAAATTATTATTAATATTATAAATAATACATTTTTAATAAAGAATGTTTGTAATAATAATTAAATAATTCATGTTATTATAGTCAAAAAATAATCTTCTTGTATATAATTTTTTCATTGTATAAATGGTATTTGTTTAAATAATCTAGACATATCAAGATGCACTGCAATGCCAAATTATATGTAGAAATAAGTTATCAAAATGCATTATGAGGCAATAGGTTAATATAAATAAATATCACAAGGTTATTGAACTTAAATATTTTGATAAAAATTGATCCATCAATATAAAACCATTATGTAAACAATTAAACTTTTACATACATATTTTGAATATAAACTGGTTATGTTATAATTAATTTATTCTCTATTTTATTCTTAAAAACATATAAAATTATTAAGCTGTTTAAGCTCCGGATATTTTATTTTTAATCATGGTAAGAATCCTTTTTCTTACAGTATAATAGTAAAAACCACATAAGTAAAAAGTTATAAAAAGAAAATTACTTTTATAAACAGATAGCAACCATAACATTGCCTAATGCTCATTGCAAATGTAACACAACTATTAAATGTTAATTACTGCATAGTACAAAACAATAACTATTGTAAATATAAACTTGATGGAGCATTGACATGCAGTTAATACTATCACATATATACATATATCTTCAAATGGCTAGATATAGTATGTCCTTCTATCATGTATCTTAACTAAGAACTACATTAAGTATACAGATAACACAGTTAAAGTTTTCCTTACATATTCCTAACCCTCTGCACAGATCTATCTAATGTTATAAATGCGAATGATTGGATGGATGGATATTTGTTAGAACAATAGAAAATCTCAGTTAGCAACCAACCAGTTTTTTATTCCATCATACATACAGTCCACTCGTTCAACAGTATCTCCATAATAGCAGCATGGATCCCAATGAAATGTGGCATAGATGTAGATCAGTCTGGTAGAACACATAGGCTACTAACAAACCTTTTTTTAATTCTGTGCAAATAGAATTGATGTTCTAAGGATGCTGTAATTTATAATACATCATAGAAAATCTATAAAACTAAATATATTTTTGCACAAGATATTCTTATATCAAGTAAATAGACTTGAAATAATTTTGCTATCCAGCTAAACCAGGTTTAGCGAGAACTGGAAAAGCAAGAAACCTCTATAAGTGAGAGTCATTGTCTGGTTCCTACAATCAACCTACATAAGTCAGAAAAATATTGAAGTCTCTTGTACTGTCCCTTATCCAGGTTTGACTATAAATAATTTCTGTATAATAGTATTTAATAAATGTTATTATGGGAAATGTAGCTTGGTGGGAACACATTATTCTAAGAGATTACACAATCACTAGAAACCTGAATTGTGTTAAATTTGGTCTTAAATTACCTGTATTTTGTACTTTGTACTACAACATATGAATTTATAATTTAATTTAATTTTGTATAATTATAATTTAAATACAATATAAATATAGTCAATATGTTAGTTACTAGCATGTGGCATTGAAATGTGTGCATTTTTTTTACTGATATTCAATATTTCATTATTATTATTTCATCAATATTATAATTTTGACCAAAATTAAGATGTATTTAAAATTTAATAATCATGTGCAAGGACAAAGCAATGTTATAATTAATTTTGAATTTGTACATTTTCTAACAAAAAACTTATTAAAGACTTATAATATTATAGAACTAGGTTCAAGAAAATAAGAAAAAATAATTTATGATCATAGTTATGCAATTTCATTTATGTTATGTCAATACAAAAGTTTGAGAAGGCATTTGGTATTGATTATTGCACATCCAAGTTGGCACTTTGAAGTTGAGCCATATAGATTTACTTTCCTTCCTTCACACAAGGAACATGTAAATGTACTCAACATAATAATACGTGCTACATGTTATATAGACAAATGCAAATATTTTCAGTTCCAATATGCATTGTTCCATCATAAAGAGAATGCTTTATTTTAGCAAGTTTTTGCGAAAATTTGTCAAGATATTGTGTTCAGAGTTGTCATTACAGTTAGTTAGGACAAAAAAACTCGCAACAGCTCTTTTTTATCTAAAGTGTAGTAGGCAGGAGGGCACGACACAAAATGGCAACCACTGTTTCAATATGCGAATGCATTCGTCACTAATTAAACGCGGTGCATAGCTAAATAACCACTACAAGGATACCTTGACACGTATTATTTTGCTTCCAGCAACAAAACCAAAAAGAACAAAATCATTAATTACGAACAACTTCTTACTTCTGTTGCATCACAAGACGTTTCTTAGCGTGTAACATTAGGGTTAGAAAATCATAAATTGCAGCTCAATTCCTAACAAATATTGACTAACAGACCCTAAAATGGTGAAATTCGTGTGTCGATGACAAAGAAATGTACTTACTGCCGGGGGCTTGATCTTACAAATCCCTGACTTCTCCGCGATGGGCCTTATTTTGCTGATGTATGCCAGTGGGTCCAAAAACTCTTCAGGCGTTGGCTCGAAGACTGGTGCCTCTGGAGGTACAGTGAAGGTGAAATTATCAGGTTTCATGGGGGACGCCGAGTCCCCCATACTAACTTCGACATTAGCTTCGTCACATTTTCCCATTTTTGAGAAAAACCTATGCAGTTCTCACTATTTTAACTATAACTAACACTTTAACATTATCAGATGTTAAGGAATGAATAATGCACGTCCGCAAAGAAATAGAAGCAATAGAATTGTTCTTTCCATAAGGAATCTCGACAAGATAATAATTGAAATTATCACCAACAAATAACAGAGTTCACTTGCACGTCCGCCATGCGAAATTGAACTTTCGAAACTCCGGTGTTGCCATATAAAAGGCCCTAATTTTTTTTCTGCAAGTCAAATATAGGGCATCAAAACTTCTATTATTATTCCATCCATATTCCCTTTAGATACTTAACTAAACTTTCACATACATATTATTACTAACTAAAAGTTATGTTATTCTGCGGCATTTTATGATGAAGTTAAATTATGGAACTGTAATCTCAATTTAACATTCGATAACGATTCGAGCTAATGCCTATATGAATTTTCGGAATTAGTAAATCGTATTAGCCTGCTTTTATATGCTCTTTGGCTGCTACTTCAATATACTACTAATCATATGGTTTAATCATTTTCATTCCGAATAATGTAAAGTTAAAAAAGTGTGTGACAGAGTGCCAGAGGTGAACCTACCAAATTGGGTTAACCTCCTCTGAGATTCTACTTTTCAAATGAGAATTAAAGAACAGATTCAGTTTTATTTTGCTTTGTTGCAGAGGAATAGTTACTGACATTTTATAATTAATGCAATATTCTTTTTGTGCATGAAAAAAAAGACATTCCACATTTTATGCAGTGTTACCATAGATAAAAAAGAATAGCAACAGGCTTTGCAAACGCGCAGACTCGAATGGAATCGATGAGCACATCCGTCATCCGCCACCATCCGCCATTTGCGATAGAAAAGCCGAACGCTGTATTGCTGTTCCGCGGCGCGAGTGACGTCGGTTTGATTATGTCGAGTGTATAAATTATTATTTCAATAAAACTGTGAACAGTGTCTGCATTTGACCGGTTAAAATGATTGTGAGATTACTGAGCCTGTTGTTCGTGGGGATTTTAGCGGTCTCGGTGCAGAACGTCGAAGGCAACAACGACAATGAAGGTACTAAAACTTAGTCTTGTTTTTTTTACATAGTTCACTTTATTTATGGATTTGAAGTAAAAATTATATTTGGGAATTATTTGGCATGAAATGTATGAGCTATATTTTATTTAAATGCGAATAGTTTTTAATAGTACAAGCCTTAAAAAAATTGTCATTTTTGGTATTCATAGATGTTTATTTTTGGGCTATAGTCGGCGTATGAAGTTGAGCGAGGAAAGGAATAAAGATTGTGGTGCAGTTGTTGATATGTAGAGGTGGTCGTGGTCACAACACCAGTGTGTGGGTGTCGCGAGCTTGCGAGAACCGGCCCGACCGCTTCTGAGTGTAGTGTCGCACAATGCACACACGTTCGCTTCTTGACCTCACTCAGTGGGCGTAATGGGACTCTAGGTTTCGCAGCACCAAAAATTTCATCTCCTTAAATAGTCATCAAGTTTCTTAACTTTTTAATAACTTAAGCTTTTTTGTAGTTAGTTGTATGTTAACCTGTAGTTAGTCATTTTTGCTAACTGTAATCCTACAAATTTTTCTAGATGTTCCCAATCATCAAACTCTGCTTAGAAACATAAAGCCTGCTTATTTAAGAAGAGAATTTTCTAACAAGTCTTCTTTATAGCGGTGGTGGAAGTAAAGAAGTGACATAAACTCAATTGTATTTTCACAAAACTCAAAAAGATGAAAAACAATTGGTCTGTATACCAGTTAATGAAATGTAATTTTTTCAATATTAAAATTTTTAATTCATCCATTTTGTGTTTGTTTTTCAAATGTTTGCTCAAGCTATGTTCTACATTATTGTTAGTTTTGCATGTCAGCTAATCTGTTTCTTTTGTACATTTTGCTGAAATTTTCTGTACTGTTGTCCCACTTGTATAGAAATACAGTTAACATTGTTTTTTTTTTTAATTGAGGACAGATGAATAGGTCCTATTACTAACAAGGCTGGATACTGAGTACAGCAAATCTGGGTAAATCAGAGTCCTTCAGTCCTGGCAAACAATCTCCATAAGTGATAAACATGGATTAGAGGGAAACATTGATAGGTGGGATAAACATCATGATCCCATAGACTCTCGCTTATCCAGGTTCGACTGTAGCACTTTAATTCAGTACATCATTTCACTTCTAGAAGCTGGCATTAACAACTGTTTAATTAACTCTTTAAAAATAGTAACACAATATGCACTAAAAAGGTTCACATAAAGCAATTAGTGGTGTTTGTTTTATTACTCCAATGGTAAACTATTTTCATGTGTACCCGTAAAAAGAAATAAGGCCTATCAAAGGAGAGGTTATTTATATAGCAGCTTATGTATTGCTTTTGTGTTAAATATATTTCAAATTCCATATTGCCAACATAAACATTTGAGACATTGATATGGCTTAAAAAAAACGTAAAAAGGAATAAATATTAAAATTCGGTTCGGTTTCTTTAACAATACTTAACCAACTTATTTTTACGGTTGAGTGGACTCTTTCAAAGGTTAATCAAGAAGAGTTTAACCAATTTTAACATGACTAAGACTTTGTTCTAAATAGCTAGCAAAGTCTTTGTGGAAAATTTTCCTTTCTTATCTTATATAGTAAATCTCATTCGCCGTTCGCCGCCATTCACAATGATAATATTTCAGACTAGTTCATTATTCTATGTCCCAGTTTTTCATACTAAATGTTTACGTATCGGATGTTCACCTTAAATAAGATAATGTTTTACGTCATTTAATAGATTCTAGAGAACTGAGTAACTAAAGTAGAACATTATTTTAAGCATTACATTTGTAAACAGATGTAGAAATAATTATATATATTAGTAATTAGATATCGCTCGCGCGGAGTTAAAAAAAACTTAATTAGTAGCCTATTCTTTCAGACCATGTTCTACATCTATGCCAAATTTCAGCGAGATCCATGCAAGCCTTCTAGATATAACTTCTAACAAACATCCATCCATCCAAAGTGTACATTTATAATATTAGCAAGAAAATTCAGTCACTTCAAATGTTTTATCTAGTAATGTCACAATAGACCTCGTCATCTTAACTAATCAAATTACAATTCAAAACACAAATTCATTTTTTCAAACACAATGTATCGTTAATTATGTATTCAGCGAGGTTTTGGGGCTAAAGATCTAGACTTGGTCTTCCGTCCCAATCGGTAGTCCGGATTTGAGAATCGCGTGACGCCTAATGCTAAATTAGCATAGCATAAATTGGCCAAAGGGTGGGGCTTTTCGTGACTAGGAATGGTGAGTCATTGCTGCGATTTGATTTATTGTAGTTCTGCTACATTGGTATGATTTATGATTTAAAATATTACGTTAATTAGAATAAGTTTAGAAACATTGATAGCATTTTAAATTTCCCAAAATAAAAAGCTTGAATATAGACAAAAAGTTTTATGGTTACTTTTTTTTAATTTATGACCTGGTAACATAGACCTTTAGGTCATTTATGGTTACTTTGATCGCATATAACATAGAATAAGTTTAAAAGTATGAAAGGAAAAGATTAAAGACTGGCAACACATCAGGAGTTCCTGTGGCACCTCGTTTCCCCGCTCGTTTACCCTCTTTACTTATAGAAAGTAACAATAAAAAATGTCAATATAAAGTTTTAAAGGCCGGCAACGCATCTGCGGTTCCTCTGGTATTGCTGATGTCCATGGGCATCGTTGAACACCTCGGTGTTCCCGCTGCTCGTTTGCCCCCTTCTGTTATAAAAAAAGTCGTCTCTTGTCTTTTCAGGCGATAGCTTTCTTGTATTTAAGGAGTTAATATTTTATTGACTTGAATGACCGTGAGTTTCTGACAGCAAAAGCTCTAAATAAAACATATCGTCATCTCTATTAGTATATTTTATAAAACAGAGATAACAATATCTTTTAAAGAAGGATTTTGGTTTGACAATTTCATTGAAGCAGTATTGTCAGTTCGTAGTCCACTCAATGGCATGTCAGCATGTCACTGCTTTAGCTTGCAGCTCACGTTTTCTACCTCATGGTGATTGGTGTATTGTGTGGTCCGCGCTGCTGATGCCCGTGGCCGTGGGAGGTCGCACTAATCATGTGCTTGTTACACGACAAATACTTGTACTAAGATATATTGCCATCTCACTCATTCTTATACAAAACTGAGATATAACTTTTTTATCTTTGGGTGGCATAGAGCAAGCAGCCACATGAACAGAGAAACGACCGCTGCCCATAGACATCCACAATTGTAGTTTTTTTCATATCTTTTAACTATGGTTGTCATTCTAACTATTGTATTTTTTAATTCAATTAAAAACATGTAGAATTCATGATTTTATTGCACTTATTAGCGTTTGCTAAGGTGAGAATATTAAATGCGTCTAAGTAAAGTATTTAGCGCAATTGAAAAACAACTTAATCCGTACTTAGTGTAGGCTGCGAGGTAACCGGCTTACGGCCAATATTTTCCGACTGGTTTGTCCGCGGTGGGTCGTAGTGTCGTCTAACTTAACTGTGAAATATTTATACTCTGTTCCTAAACAATACTTTGCCACACACACTCATTTAACCAATCAGACGTTTGTGTCGATAGCTCGTATTAAATAAAGGAGTCAAAAACACTTAAAATAATTTACCGTTATTAGTAAAATAAAATAAAATCACAAATTTTAATGTAATCCTTTGTTTATAAAGTTAATGACTAAATTTGAAACAACGTATCGTCGTCTGTGTATAGAATTTATTGTTAATATTGTCTTACGTAATGCAAGACATTGAAGTTTTTATAACACAAGTACTTGCGGCCAATAGACAGGAAGACAACGGAACACAATAGATATTTGCATAATTCTGTACGTTCCTAACATCATATATGATTTTTAATATCTAAAAACCGTCAGGAGTGGTTTTATGAACTGCGAGTAAGAAAACCTTTTCAAAATCCAGATTCTAAAATAAACTAGAAACTAATTAAATGGAAATAAATTCCAATAATAAAATCTTACTGATATTATAAATGCGAATGTTTGGATGGATGGATGTCTGAAAGTATGTCCGGAACGGCTGCATAGATACCGCTGTAATTTGATATAGATTAGTGTACAAGAACACATAGGCTATATAATAAAGTTTTTTTTAATTCCGTGCGGCGACAATTAATACTCTATACCCCAAAATTTTCTACAGAATTTCATCCAAAGAAATAAATATGAAAGGGAAAAAAAGCATGAAAAACTGCACCTCACTTGATATTTCCGCACTTGTCTGGTTTTGCTGCATCAGCAGGTGTTAGTTTTTGTCGACCTACCCTCTGCCAGTGTTGAGTGACATATAACATCTGTTCTAAATTGGGTTGTGACAGACGTTATTGATAGGGTGGGGCACAGTTAACGGGGCGGTTTTATATTTGATTAGCTACCCCTAATATTTATGACGAATTCTCAGAGAGACAATATAGTCGTGGTTTCAATAGAAGGTTGAAAATTTATTTTCTGTTTCAATTGTATAATCAATTTGATGTGTTTTAATTGATTACTTCATGTCTAAGAACTCGTGAACTTTATAAATAACCGTCTCATTTTATACAAAGAATTAACGTGAATAATTCAAATTTAGCATATGCTGGCATAGACTAGAATTCTGCAGATTCTCACCGTATGGTAGGTTTCCGTAGGTTATGGTAAGTTAAACGATGAGCAATTCATGACGCAAACTAAAAATGTTAATAGATTGGAGTCTTGCCAGGATAATAAAATATAGAGAACGATATAACCTCTTTGGTATTGACAAGAAATTAGTCTACTTAAACATACTGCATCGTAGGCTACACTTTTCCTTTATAAGTAACTTAGGAATTTAAAATCAAAAACGACTTGCCTATTTTCCTGTTCAAATTATATGTACTTTGAAATATAAGCGTATTTCCATAGAATGTTACGTCTAGTTTGTCACTCTGCCAGATAAGGCAGCGAGTTGAATTACACTGTGTTTGTAAGACAAACTGGTAAGTTGATACGTAGATTGCG